TTATTCTAACTTTACCAGCTCCTCTTTCTCCCCTTTTCTTACGTGTCTCAAAGCAGATTGTTTTGATAATGTTCCTATATGATACTTAAAGCCCTAAAGCTTCCAGACCAGACCACTCCAGCTTGAGAGGGAGTTAGTATTTTATAGCAGTGCAGAAATGTTTTATTTATTATTTAATTTAAAGATGTCAACAACCTTACATGTTGGATCCAGAATCTGACCCAGAACCAGAAGAGAATTAAGACGAGGAAATTGTAGTCGGTAAGTCCAGACCTTATTAGGCAGTTCTGTCACAATTAATTTGATGTGATAGTGAAATAATATAAAACATAATAGAAAATAGAGAAAACTGAATGAGCTGGAAAATATGACCCAACATCTTTTCAGCACCAGGAAAGACTAAATTCAGCTTTTCTGAACTCCTAGAAACTCCAAGCACACAACAAAATGTATTTAACAGCTGAAAAAGTTGAATTTGCACGATATATACCCTTTGACACAAACCATGGATTTACCTGAGCTTCAGAGAAAAGCGCAGGCCATCTCTCCTGGAAATCTTGGATGGCAGGACACTTCTTTACAACTTCTAGTCGTCGATAGGCGAAACATCTATCCATTTTCTCTGCAATCACCTTCTCGTTGTTTTTTTTCTTCATTTCTTGCAAAAGATTTAGTCTCTCCTTCTCCAAAGTGTCTTCTGTTTCTCCCAAAGGAAGTGGAGGCAGGTAGTTCACTTCAGCTTTCTTAGGCCTTTTGATGCCTTTGCTTGAACCTTCTTCATTAATCCTCTGCTTTTTCAGTGAGTTCACCTCCAACTCTGGACAGACAAGTTGGCGACCTCTTAATTTTGCCCGGTAATTTCCCATTTTATATTTGATCCTCTGCTGCCATCCAYACAGGCCATTAAAAGATCCTGGCTCTTTGAGGCATGGATACTTTTCAGTTAGAGCTTCAACCACAGTCAATATCTGGATCCCAGTGGGGTATGCTGTGTAGCCAAATACCACTTCTGCCAGCTTCTCTAGTATGCTACTTGTCAATCTCGGGTCATTGAGCAGTGTGCCATCRTTGAGGAATGCTTGGTTTCCAGCTTCCAGCTGAAGTTCTACATCATAGGAAAARGTAGGTATTTCAAATTTGGCAGGCCAAAGTTGARTACGACGAGATGTCCCACTTTCATCTGAGGATGAGAGAAGGATGGTGTCCTGAGATCCTGATGAGTCGGGAGAGGAGTTGTCTGAGGATTCTTCTGGTAGTGGGTAGTCAACCTCTGAGTCTTCCACAGAACTCACATTCAGCACAATTGGCTGTGTTTGCACAATCTTTAATGTTGCCCTGTCTTCCACCTCTTCAATGCAGCTCAGAGTAAAAAAYTGGCCTCCAAAGTCCATGTCTTGATAGAGGACAGTAAAATCCCCTGGAATGTTGAAAGTCTCTCTGATTACATTGAAAAGRTCTGTGAGAGTACTTGGTAAGCCTGAGGGAAGAGTCATTTTGCGAATATCGCTCTCTTCAAAAACGATGCGTAGTTTTGCTGGGGTATCCAGCTTGCCTGAGGAAGCTGCATTGGAGACAGAAAAGATGTCTGATCTTTTTTGTTATTTTCACAGAAATGCTGAATGTCAAGACTTCAATATGTTTAATATTTTTTATATGAAAAGCTTTAACAATACTATACATATTTGTGTTAAACAGTACCAAAAATATTGYGAAATAGAATAAAGAAAAAAGTTTTGCATTTAACCCAAACTGTGATTAGGAGAACAAAGAGAATACACTAGTGGKTTTTCAAATAAGATAGACTGTAGGTAGTCACAAGCAAAAAAGTATTATAAAAAAGGTAAGCAGTAGCTTGGCATTGTTCAATTTTTACTTATGCCAAATTTTATTTAACAACTCCAGTTTCAAACAGTTGTCATTTGTGACTACTAATAACG